TGTATGGGGACTTGATCCACATAAAGTGCATTAGCTTTATGCGGGAAAGGGCGCATGGTAAGGGAAAGGTAAATAACTTGTATCCATATTACAAAGGACTGCAAAACACATATTCTTGACTCCTTATCAGCTGCTTCTTCTCTTTGTGAAAAGATGCTATTAAGAAACTGCTTTTGAAGAACCACTTTGAGAGGTGTGGTTTTTAAACAATTAAGTGGTATATAAATTTTATGAAATAAATAACAGTGGGAACTATTTTACACTAAGCAACATTGCATACTTTCATTTCATTTCATTTACTTCATAATTTATATAATGCTTAACACCATAGTTTGTGAGTGGTGTATAATAAGGTTGCAAAACAAGTGTGAAAGATAAAATCAGTGAAAATTAACCATAACATTAGCTTACTCAAAATCTGGTGTGAACTGGAAGGGAGTTCCACAAAGCTGGAAGGCACGAAGGTCCAGAATGCATAGCTGCTGATGAATGTGAGCCATGGAGCACCATTCACAGGGACTCCCTCAAAGACCTCAGTGGTCAGGCATGGATATAAGGCACAAGGTGTTCCTTAAGGTACACTGACTGAAGAGCCTTGTAAATTAACCATGCACATGGCCTGGTAGCATTTGGGTAGCTAATGCAAGGTTTTAAGAACCAGGGTTATGTGCTGTTGGTTGCTTATCTTCACCACCAGTCTAGCTGCAGCATTTTGACCCAGCAGGTACCTCTGAACCAGGCCCAACAGTAGCCCCACATAAAGTGCAGTGTAAGAACTGATTCTTACCAGTTCGTGAACCACGTAGTTAGTGTACCTGTGGCAGCTGGCAAAAGGCAGTCCTAGCCACTGAGGCTACCTGAACCTTCAGCAGCGAAGATGGACCCATGAACACCCCAAACCTGGCCTAAGAAAATGCTCAGAAAGGGCTGAACTAATTTGCGGGGGTGTGGGGAAGGGGGCGACACACTGCAGAATAGAAAAATATTTTAATTTTACATTTACAGATAAGGCTGGATGCATGTTTAAAGAAGCTTGGTAAAGGAGGATCCATTGCATCAAATTTTTGCATTAGCAAGATTCACTGCAATGAGGCCGTCAGGCCTGCATTCATACTGAGCTCCTCCTATACTGGTGCTATTTGTTTGGAAGAGTCTCTCTAAATCACATCGACTATACAGTAATTGCTGTTTATATGGTTGCAGCAGGGTGCTTTGAGCTGCTGGGCACATGCAGATTACAATGGCCAGGTCTGCCATTTCCCTGTGCAGGTGTTGGTTTACACAAACCATGCGTTTGGCAGGTCTGCATCATGTCAAGGTACATGCATGGGGAATGATCATCAAATACTATTGTTCTGAGGCTGGGAGTTAGAAAGAAATTCTTAATAGGGCAGATGGACTGCTGGCCCAGCACATTCTTTGATAAATAAACTATGGCTGGTAGGTTGCCATGGGAACTAATTGCTACATCATTTTTGGGGGATGACCAGGAAATAGTTGAGAGACTCTTCTGAAAGACAAGAGCCATTCTGGAATTGGGGCAGACATACTTCCCCACTCCCAGCTGGGATGCCGTTTTTTTCAGCTGGTACTGAAATTTAATTCAAACTTTTGTATGCATTCAACTTAATTGAAAATGAAACAGATGAGGAAGAACTATAAGTTGTGACAGTAATGGCTTCAAATTATTTTGCTGTTAGAATGCATAGGCACTTCCCAACTTTTTAAAATACACTAGACTCCTAATGTTTCCATTTTGCAAACTATAACGTTTTCCAAGTAATCAATTTGCAAGTTTTAAATGAGCTTAAATACATCTGTACCTACATTTTTGTACGTTGAACACCACTGCAAAGTGGCTGTGTTGCTGAGAATGATGAAAATAAAACGTGTTGGTTTTTTTTAAAAAAAGAAGATGTGGCAGATTTCCATTTCAGTGTCAGATCTGCAGTCTGAGTGGGTGGAATGTACTTCCCTCAGCTACAGAACTTATGTGAGGAAAAATCTTCCAAGCATAAATGGAATATCTGCCAGACTTCCAACAGCAACAACAACAACAGAGGTGTGATGCCAGGGATCGAGAGGTTGCATTAGTTAGAGTGCTGCTGCTACTGGTACAGGAATAGCTAGGAGCTGCTAGGATGGGGAAGCCTTGTTGGGCAGTTGTAGCAGCCACAATGAAGCAGGAGTGCTTGCGAGCACTTAAGGAACTGATGGGGGGTACTCTGGGCGTCTAGAAGTGGGTAAGACCACTTCCTCCTTGCCATTTGCATGCTCACTACTATATGAGAGGTGGGGAGGTGTTTTCAGCCTGAGAGATGCATCCCTCATGGAAAACCTTCCAGGGGGAGCATCTGCAACCACCATTCATCAGCATAGAATAATAGAGTTGGAATAGATCTTGGAGGTCCTCCCCTCCAAGCCCCTGCTCAATGCAGGACCTGCAACACAGGATGAAACTAAAGTGGTATGATGCAGCTCTAAATGTACAGTGCCTTGGAGAAGATGGTAGTGTGTTTTGGGGCTGGGTGGTTGCTGGAGAAAGAGTACTGTTGGGTGGGAAGTCAACCCCTTTCTAGACCCATTTGTTTGCTCACAGACCTTTGTGACTTTGCCCAGTTTGGGGTGGGGTGGGTGGGGGAATCATAAAAGCCCCAAGCCAATCTGAGGAGGATTTGCTCCTTGAGATCCAACGTCTCCTTTGCAATGCAAAATGTTCTTTCCAGAGCGATGGTTTCTTTTTCTTTCTTGGCTGTACAAAGCCTTGCCCCATGGTGGCCATCTCTGCTGGGAGCCCAAAACATTTAAATTGCCACCGCATGAGAAGGACACAGGAAGTGATTGGTTCTGCCAGTGAGCATTCCTCCAAGATTACATTGATTTGCCTCTTTATGTGGTGTCTGAAAAGGAAAGCGCTCAAGGAAATGCCGCAAAGCTTCTGTTTACGAAAACAAATCTTGTGACAGCTAAAAGCTTTGAAACAGTTTTAATTATCCGTTAGAGGGCAGAATGTATAATTAAATGGTAATAAGCATACAGATAGAAACATAGTGCCCAGTTTGAACAGATTCATATTCCTTCAAGTGACCTTGAAAGGCAACAGAAGGCTGCTGGCGTTGAAGTTTGTGTCCATAGGAAAACCCACTCTAATGTTTAATACAGTTGCCACAAATTTCAAATAAAGGCAGCATCTTTTGTAAGGAAAAATAAAATAAAAATGGATGAACTATCTGATTAGCGGGAAAATTAGCTGGTAGAATTGATTTTTCTTCTTCAGCCCTCTCCCTCTTCCCTCTGGGTTTCCTGTATTATTAGCACTTTACAAATAAGACAGATTATTTGCGTGATTTGAAAATCACTGAGCAGAATGAGATTCTTTTCTCTAGCTTTACGTGGTTGGTGGTTTTTTTTAATATACTTGCATCAGCTTAAGCCTGTTTGGTGAATATAAAAAGCTTTCAGTTATGCTTTATTCACATCTTCATTATAAATTCTAAATGGATGCCCTTATGATCAAGGTACAAATACTGGGTCTTGGAGTGTGCTACTTTCTCAAATGCCTTTGTGATCTTGGATTAGATGCTCAAAACTGGATCGTCAAAAGAACAAACCAACCCTTAGTCCTTAATGAGCCCACCACCACCACTCACTCAATGTAGAAAACAAAGCTAAAAGCCAATGTTTTAAGGCTGAGCCACATGTTAGAGATTTGCTATTTTGTGTTATACAACAGAGTGAAACCTCACCGTTTCGTTGAGTATATGGAAACTGTTCTGGGGGTACTTGTAACAACAACAATAGCAATATATGAAATGCATTAAGGGCAAGTGAATTCTTAGGTTGTGGGGATAGGGCAGAAATTCAAATCTCACACTTTCTGAAACACTATGTGAACCTAAACACAGCTGTCCTTCAAAATTCACAGTTCTCTGAATTTTGCGTTGCAGTTCTCCACCCAGTAATGGGTACAAAAATGCAAATATGGGGGGGGGGAGTGTGCATACAAATGTAGTATATCACTGAAAGTAGCATACAAAATATAGGGGAAATTGCAAAAATATTTAGAAGGCAAAATTGCAAAGAAAAATGTGTTTAATTGGAGAAATTGGTACTGAGATTCTGATACATTTCCATGAGATAGTCAGTATTTAGTGGGAGACTTTCAGGTGCAAACCAAAAATTTGCAGTTAATTTTGCAATTGAAATGGATTTAAAGCACTCTCTCACCCTAGCACAATAAATCCACCAGTGTTTTGCTGTTAGGAAAGTGATAGGTAAATTCATTGAAAAGTGTGAGATGAATGAACGATTATTGAGAAGGCATATCAGGACCAGGCAATCAATTCAGGATGGATGTTCATTGTCATATAACCTCCCAGCAAACAAGCGAATCAGGATGAATGCTCAATAAAGAGGCTGCCTGGAGGAGTGTATTTCTCTTCCTTGTTTCTTAATCAGCTAATCAGGGATGGAAACAGTTTAATTCAGTCAAGGATGGTCTTCCTAAATGAAGATGTAACATTTAATAGGGTTCAATAGGTTCAAACAAACATTTAACTGCATTTTTAAGCAAGATGGATTACATGGATGATAGAGGAACTGAAAAATTCAATTGACTTCTATTTAGTTATATATGTTTGGCTCTTAATAAAATATCTTTCACAACCAAGGCTACTGCTCCTAATGATATAGAAGCAGGGTTTAATTGCGGGCAGGGCTCAGCAGAACAGTGTCCTGGAGTGTGCTTGGGATCAGGCACTTATTTATTTTATTTCGTAAAATCCAAACACCACTTGATAGTGGGGGGAGGGGGAGAGAACACCCCAGAGCAGTTTACAAAAAGGCATAAATTGAGGCCATGGTACATGGGGAAATGGTTAATGCCACACACACACACCCCGTGCCATTGCCCTGATACAAGTGCAGCCCCTGGCTGGCTTTCTCAAGAAAAAATGTATTTAACCTACAACCACACACCTACAGTATTACATTGACTTTACCTGCAAGAAAAAGTCACGTTCAGTGGGGATTCGTGAAAATGGGGTGTCCATCTTGCGAAAGCAGAAGCACTTTTCACTATGGCAAAGCAACCACTGGCTAAAGCCCACAGGGTATCTTTTCCTTCTAACAGCCTTGCAGTACCACACATCCAGAATTGTGGAACAAAGCTTCCAGATCAGACAGCATGGCTTAAAAGAAGAAGAAAAAACCATTGTTTAGAAACTAATTACTCTGCTAACCGATGCAACTCCATTTAGACCAATAAAGAATAATTTACTTTGCTCCTAATATCCCCCCGCTATCAATGAGTCATTCAATGACATTACCAGAAAATTGTGAATTAGCTATCATGTCTAGTTCTGATATGGTGCCAGTCACAGAATCCTCAGAAGACAAACTGGACACTCCACTGGCCAAACACCTTGAGGAGCAGGGAGGATCTCTGACTCCAATGCTGAGGATCTCCTTGAGGGGACCTCTGCGTTGATACCCAAGGAAGAACCTCTGGAAATGTCAGAGGAGTAGGTGGAGCCCACCACACCTTGACCTCAAAAGCACCAGAAGCTTCTGGTCAAGGCCAAAGAGGGATGGCACATTACATTACATAGGTGCCAGGAAAAAAACATTTGTTTTCTCCTAGACTTTAGGCAAATTATACAATCTATGGCCTAATAAACTGAATGGGGGGGTATCGTTTTTGTTTGTTGTTATGGTATGTATTTTTGTTACTGTGGTATGCATTTTTGTGTTTTTATATTTTAAATTGCCCTGTGATCTTAAATAAATTAACAAGGGCCCAGAGTAAGGTGTCTACTCATGAGCAAGCAATCCCTGATACTCTTTCATTGCCAGCAGCTGGCAATTACAATAGAAAATCCCTATCTATTTAGAAATTAGATTTTATGAGACAGCTTTTGTACCAATACAAATGAGCTTTGTTGTGGGTTTGCTGATAAGCAATTGTAGATGAACAAGAAAAATTAGAAATAAATGTTGGGTTTCATCTACAATGCCTAGTCATGCCTGCAGTGAACACTAGGTAAGGTTTTCAAACTAATGCATAAAATAGTGAAGACAATAAACATTAAATGTTAATATTAATGGTAATGGAAATCATTGTTACATTAAAAGATTGCAGACTTGCTTCTAACGCACAGTTGCAGCAGTTTTTATGTCACTGCAATTTGTCCCTTTAATATATAAAACTGTATAAAGCTACCATTTAGTCAAGTGAAAAAAACAGCACAGTCTTCAAGGCTGCAACATGGTACTGTATCATATAGTGGCTTCTTAATTATAAGGAGGAAGTAAAAAATCTGCTGCCAGCCTATTCAGTCAAAGTGACAACTGTTTTGATTTGTGGAGGTTTAAGCAAATGCTTTTCAATTTATTCTAAAATGTAAACACCCTACAGAGTGCTTTATTTATTTTTTGTTTTTTACAAACATAGCAGAAAAGGGAATTTTTCTTCTTGATTACTGGTTGAAATCTGTTATCAGTAGTATGAGAAATATAAAACACACTTCCCATGATAACATAATGCTACAGAGTAACCCTATGCAAGTCAACTCATATAAGCTGCACTGACTTCCCTGTACTGAGACTTACTCCTAGGTAATTGTGTACAGAACTGCAGGCAGAGACGGGCAAATCTATCATTTTCTCATTTTTTCCAGTCTTCACATTTCCACAGCACTGATTTATTTATTTTTTAAAGTCCCCATGAAAATTCATCAGCATTTTTATTTCCCCCTAATTTTCCTAAGCTATTATGTCAGACATTTTTACAAACCAAACATAATGCATTTTTGACCATCATTTCCACTAATATGTGAATTTTTTAATGCAGACTAGTATAGTATTATTACTACAGTGGTACCTCGGGTTACATACCCTTCAGGTTACATACGCTTCAGGTTACAGACTCCACTAACCCAGAAATAGTGCTTCAGGTTAAGAACTTTGCTTCAGGATAAGAACAGAAATCGGTCTCCGGCGGCGTGGCAGCAGCAGGAGGCCCCATTAGCCAAAGTGGTGCTTCAGGTTAAGAACAGTTTCAGGTGAAGAACAGACCCCCGGAATGAATTAAATACTTAACCTGAGGTACCACTGTATTTACATATAAACACACATGGAGCACTACAACATGGCTACCTCTCTCTCTAGCATCAGGACAGCAAAGGGAGGCCCCATTAGCTAAACTGGTGCTTCAGGTTAAGAACGGACCTCCGGAACAAATTAAGTACTTAACCCGAAGTACCACTGTACTTTGTACACATTCCTTAGCTGAAGAACTGCACGACAAAATCCAGCTGGTGTTACTTCCCAAGGATTTCTGTTCTTGCTTCAGAAAGTGTGGATTAAAGTAGGTTCGCCTTTAAATGCAAATTGAACGGAATTGAGGGCTGAGTGACAAGCAATCCTAGCTCCCTGATATTTGCAGTTGGGGGACATAAGAAGACAGGCAAGGTGCCCATCTGACAGAGATCCCACTGTGCCCATGCAAAGCGTGGGAGGTAGAAGGCTACTTCTGACCATGTTCCAGCCGCAGGAACAATCACAAGCCTTCCAAATGTGTCATTATAAGGCTAGGGGCAGACCCAGCTCTGGGTTCTCTGCATGTAAAATTGTGCCATTCCAGAGGGAGGGGTAATGGGGGCTTGTACCGGAGCTGACTTAATGGTAAAGCACAAATGCTGCTTGCCCTCTGTCCTGGGCTGCTAAGGAACAGTGTGGCGGTAGATTTTCCAGGCCACTCTCCACTCCCACACTTGGGATGCCTCTGTAAAGGCATTTTATGTGCGCTATATTGCTCTAGCCTTGCAGCAGAACTAAACAGCTTCAGTTCAATGAGTTTGACCTGCAAACAGCATGATGTGGAATTAGAGCTGGGTATTTTTTTTTAAAGAAAAGGTCCTTTCACTCCACTTTTTACCCTTTGGCCACTTTACCTTCACTTAAAATCAAATTAAAGTAGATACCCGATGCTTTCAGGCCACCCATACCAAAGCTGCCTTGTTGTGGTCTCCCTACAGTCAGACTATGTGTTTATTATGAAGTGTCGTGTTTTAGAAGTAAAGTTGATTACCAGATGGATTTGGATATATTGCATGGAAAAATGCTATTATAACATATATTTGAGCCATCACCCATGTTTCAACCAGGGCAGCCACTTGGTGAGGAACTAGTGCAACTACTGCAATGCGATCCTTGCTTGGAAGTCCTCCCAAGCTCCATGGGATTTACTCCCAAGTAAGTGTGCATATTGGGGACACGGGTGGCGCTGTGGGTTAAACCACAGAGCCTAGGACTTGCTGATCAGAAGGTCGGCAGTTTGAATCCCTGCAATGGGGTGAGCTCCCATTGCTCGGTCCCACCTCCTACCAACCTAGCAGTTTGAAAGCACGTCAAAGTGCAAGTAGATAAATAGGTACCGCTCCGGCGGGAAGGTAAACAGCATTTCTGTATGCTTCTCTGGTTCGCCAGAAGTGGCTTAGTCATGCCGGCCACATGACCCGGAAGCTGTACACCGGCTGCCTTGGCCAATAAAGCGAGATGAGCGCCGCAACCCCAGAGTCGGCCACGACTAGACCTAATGGTCAGGGGTCCCTTTACCTTTAAGTGTGCATATTGGGCTGCATCCTTGGAACTCTGTGCTCAATGTGTACATTGGTGGTTAACATAGCTGGCCAACTCTGCAAGGCAGTGGTGCAAAGAAGTGGCATAAGAGGACCGAGGCCTCTTTCCTGCTTTCACAGTGGCATCTCCCAACTAGGCTGGCTGGTGAATGTTACCTAAACATTGGGGAATGGGACAGCATCCATCATCTGCTTGCCTGAGGCAGCCACCTCTCTCTACCCAATGATAGGGTGATCCTGAAAGGCTCTTCATGTTGTTGCTGCTATAATCAGATGTAACTGCAATGGACAGATTGTCAGGGTAAGTAGCAGGCCTTAATAATGGAGGGAATTAATAGAAGTAGAACTTCTCACTAAAGGTCAATGTATTTTGAACCATAAGTTGAGGCTTTTAAAAAATACCTATCCCGCTTTTTAACTACAAATCGGTGCTGTTACCCACTCACTATCAGTCTGAGACCTCCTGTACTTTTATAAATATTAATACAGAGTCATATCAAGCAGGATTAATTAGTCAGGCTTTTTTTACAGGACTACATGCACTTTCAGAGATGTCAGTGGAAGTCAGGTTTTGTTGTTCATAAATATATTTATTAATTCCCATTAATAAATAAATTCGATTTTCATTTAACTGTCTGGCCTAAGCCAACTTTTTGAACTGCCCATTTGCAGTTATGGGATTTACAAGCCTCTTTAGTCCCAGGCCTTCCTAAACTCTAGGATTCTGTTCTGCCAAGCACATTTTTTGAGTGTAAGCAACATTTCAAAATCATTACTACTCTTCTTTTTTTGAACCTCCATTTCACAGTTTAATAACTTGTTTGGAGTGCAGAAAAGGCCTACAGCTATATTTATAACACTGCATTGCTGGTATATTTAATCAACAGCTATAGCAAATCGCATCCACCTAAAATGTTCTCATTTAACCTTGCCTCCCACATGATCTCTTACAAATGTGTCCCATTTCATTATATTCAAATAGGACAGGGAAGAAATCCTGCATGCCAGAAATCTTCCTAATAAGACAGTGATTATATTCCACTTCCTCTTGGCATCATATTCATGTGAGCAGGACCATGTTTACATCAAGACATATATGCCTTATATAAAACTTCATTGACACTATGGACCTTGCTTTCCTGCTGCTGATCTGCTAATAGAAATATGTAACTTGTCCCTCATATCTCTTTCTGTACCTGAGAACTGAAAAGTAGTCAATGTAACACCCATTTTTTAAAGAAAACTACAGGTAAGTTAGTGTCCTGAAACCACAGGTACATGGCAGCAAGTCTCCCTGGTGTACACAATCCCACAGCAGATGGTAGTGTATAGTCCAGCAGGCAGGTAGGCCTACAGGTGCAAAGTCCAGTCAAACCAGGTTCCTGCCTCTGCAGCCCATCCCAGGATCAGGGCATCTGGAGGTCAGTCCCAAAGAAGCAGAGTTCCCAAGAGCTCCCTGGAACATCCAAGCCATGGTCCAACCAGTGTGGGAAGTTGACCAGATACAGCACCTCAGCTCTCCTTCCCTTATTTACCTTGCATGCTGATTG